CAACTGTTACTCCAGTCCCAGGGAATCTGACACCATCTTCTGGCCTCAAGCATCGATCACATATATGATGGTGCACAGACAGATATGAATGTAGGCAAAGCACTCATACACATGGAATTTTGCTGGGTAGTGGTGGCTCATGGCTTTAGTCCCTGAATTAGTGAGGCATAGGCAGGCAGATCTCTGAGTTCAAGGCTGGCCTGTTTTACAGAGCAAGTTCTATAACAGCCAGGGCTACACAGGAAAACCCTGTCTTGTAAAAAATAAATTTATGTGTATGTGTGTATGTGTGTCTAGCTGTTAAGCACATGTGTTTGCTGGTTCCAGAATGCAGAAGTTGAATCCCTGGAGATGGTTATAAGCTGCCTGACATGGGTGTTAGGAATTAAAATCTGGTTCTCCACAAGGGCATCAGTGCCCTTAATCACTGAGCCATGTCTCCAGTCCCACGCTCATTTTTGCTTAACCTATCATTGATGCATTGTAGATTCTCAATTTTGACTTCTATGGATCTATAGGAATGGATCATCAAAGGCCCCCCTATAGTCTTTTGGATCTCTGGATTCTACTTCACACAGTCCTTTTTGACGGGAGTTTCTCAGAATTATGCCAGGAAATACACCATCCCCATTGACCACATTGGATTTGAATTTGAGGTAGGGATCTTGTGGGTTGGGACAGCCCAGGGGAATCAATCTAAGAAAAATTATATTGCTCATTTCCTTGTAAATACAAATATTTGGTTGTGTGGAGCAACAAATGTTTCTAAAGTGGAACATGTAAGGATTTTAGCATAGCGTAGGGTGGCTCCAGAAGCTATTCTTGACATAATCACAGAGCTGCTCCCAAGCCCTTGTTTCTGAGCATAGACAAAGGAATTTGGTGCCAGCAAGAGTGCTCAGCAGATAGAGAGGCTTGCATGCAAGCCTGGTAACTGGAGTTTGATTCTTGGGGTCCACATGAACGTGAGGAGAGAGAACAGACTCTTCAATGTTAGTCTTTGATATTCTCTCTCTCTCCCTCTCTCTCTCTCTCTCTCTCTCTCTCTCTCTCTCTCTCTCACACACACACACACACACACACACACACACACACGCACACACGCACACATACACACACAAGTAAATATATATTTAATAAATTAATCTTTGCAAATAAAAAGTCTGTCACCATCATGGCAAGAAAAATGAAAGCATTTCCCCTAACCCCTTCCTATTCTGCATCTTCATTTGGAAGAATTCTTTAGCTGGTCCTTAGAAATGGAAAATATTACCATTAGAATGATGTTAAATGGGGTTTGCAACCCTTTGGTCCATCATAATCTCTACTACTCCCTACAGACCTTACACTGTCTTCTGCTCTACAGGGAGGAATCCAAGATCATCGCCTCTCTATCTAAACCATCTCATCCAGAAGCTGTTGTAGTTTCATTGCTTGTGCGATGACAAAATACCCTGAGCTGAGTAGCTTAGTGGAGGAATTGACTCACAATTCCTAGTCCACCATTGTAGGAAAGTCAAGGCAGAAACATAAAGCAATAGTTCTCAAGCTTCCTAATGCTGTGACCCTTTTATACAGTTCCTCATGTTGTGGTGACCCCAAACCATAAAATTATTTTCATTGCTACTTAACTGTAATTTTGCTATTGTTAGGAGTTTCGAGGTAAATATGTGTTTTCTGGTGGTCTTAGGCGACCTCTGTGAATGAGTAGTCTGACCTACAGGCTGAGCACTGCTGGCTTAAGGCATCGGCAGAGAGAAGCACATGGATCCTTGCCTGCATGTTAGTACTCGGCTCCTGCTCTAGTCTTACACAGTCCAGGGCCCAGCTCATGAAAAGGTGCTGTCCACGTTTAGTGGCCTTCCCACCTCAATGAAGACAAGTTTCTCACAGATGCGCCCACAGGCCAGGCCAGCATAGACAACCCCTCACTGAGGCATGGTTGACATTTAAAACTAACCAGCACGCCAGCTCACTTTTCAGGCATTCTCTGAGCTGGTTCTTTAGTCAGGACAAGTCTTTAAAGCAGAGAAACCGACTTTAAAAAAAAAGGAAATAAAAATTTTCTTATTCTGCTTCACCTCTCACCCCAGAACTGTTTCACCAGCCCGCCTCTGATTCAGAATCTGACCCTTCATTTCCTAGATTCAGGTCCCAAAGGGGAGAAGTAATTGTGTAAGCTCACTAAGCTACATTCAATGTGGCCTCCTGACTCCTACTTTACTGCATTCTCTGTGTCCGCCATATGTAAGAGCCATATGTAAGAGCAGGAAGCTGTCTAGGAACTAGACTGGGCTCACATTTGATAAGACTTATCACAGAAGCTGATCTGGCAGCCAGGTGGTTCTTATTAGTACCACATGTAAGGAAACTAGCATAGTATGAAACTCACAGCTTTCCACTCTTTCAGGTAACAGCAAAAGAAACAACAATGGAGAGTAGCCCAGAAGATGGGGCCTACATCAAAGGACTTTTCCTTGAGGGTGCCCGTTGGGACAGGGCAACCTTGCAGATTGGAGAATCTCTCCCCAAAATCCTCTATGACCCATTGCCCATCATTTGGCTGAAACCTGGAGAGAGTGCATCATTCCTGCATCAGGATATTTACGTGTGTCCGGTGTATAAGACGAGTGCTCGGAGAGGCACCCTCTCTACCACTGGCCACTCTACTAACTACGTCCTGTCCATTGAGCTTCCAACAGACATGCCCCAAAAGCACTGGATAAACCGAGGCGTGGCCTCACTGTGCCAGCTGGATAACTAATGGCAGGTGTCACAAAACCAAGAGTAAATGGTGTCATTCTCTATTACAATGTAGCCTTTTTTTTCTTGAGTTATACAGTAGGAAAGTGATCTAATAATTACATCAATAGATCCAGACATTTCACAGCAGCCCTGTAAAGTATGTTATTATCATTATTGTTATCATTTCATGGTTGCAGAAATCATGAGAAGGTAGGCAATGATCCCAAATCAGATAGCTACTAAATTGAAACACAGACAGTGTGACTCTCCACCTAGATTTGTGGTCATTTGACATAGGCTCATTTGAAGATATTTTCTTTACCTTGGGTTTTGCTGTAACTGTCACAGAATTTAAGCCACTTCTTTCCCTAACTGACCCACCTCTGTAGCATCACAGCCCCATTAGAGATCGAGAAGGGATTGATTTTTTTTTTTAAGTTCTTGGTATATTTTATTAAGACATTTTTGTGTGTATGTGTCTGAGTGTGAGTATGTGAGTACAGGTACCCAAGGAGGTTGGAAGAGAGTATTAAATCCTGGAAATAGTTACAAATAGTTGTGAGCTGCCATGTGGGTGCTGGGAACTGAACCCATGTTCTCTGTAGGAGTGACAAACAGTCTTAACCACTGAACTGTTTCTCCAGCTTTTACTTATAAATGAAAAGCAAATCTTACAAGCTTGGGTGGTGAGGATTATCACTTCTACTTTACTGGTGCTGATTAGGTTCCAGGCAGTCAGAGGTAGAAGTTCAGCTGCTACTTGGTGTCAAGGATGGAGTCCATGACCTTAAGCACTCCACTGAGCTACATTCCCAGATCAGCTTCCATCCCTTCTCTGTCAGTCACATGAATGGGCTAACTTCTCTCATCTCTCCTTCCTGGAGAAATGTGTACCTATTGTGCAAAGGGTTCATGCCCAGGCATTTGGCCAATTTGTTTATTCCCATGTGCTGGGAATGACTGTCCTCCCAACCTGGTGGCTCAGGGACATGAAAAAGCTTGCCTGAGGGTACCCCAGAGCTTGTACTGCCAGGTAGAAGTCCTCTGGCTCTCGAATCCATGTGTATTTTACTACCACATCCCAGAGCGAGACAAGACATCAAATTCCTGAGGTAGTCTTCCCCAGTTCTCTCATGTAGTTCTTGGGCTCTAAGTGGCTTTATTCGGGGTATTCAGAGTGGAGCAGAATTGGGTTGTTTGAGTCTTAATGTGTATGGTCTGGCTTTTCTACCTCTTCACTAAAAACAAATGCCTTGGTTCAAGACTTGTGACTATTCCTGAATGTGTCAAGCCTCAGATCAAAATAAAGGTATTCTAGAAACCTTGGGTTTCAATTTCGTCACAGTGTCAACCAAACTGAGATGAACACACTATCCAAGTGCCCAGAAAGAGTAAGTACATGGTAACAGAGACAATAAGGAAGTACACTTTTACTCAAAGAAGGTCACTAAAGGGTTTTTTAATTTTCTTTTTAAGAAAGAAACCTCCTTTTTCCCATTGTGTGGATAAATTCGAAAGCACTAACAGTTAGGATGACTGTATCATTCCAAATAAGATCAGTCATGTGAGATAGAAAGACAAGATCCAACCCTGTAACTCTTGAATGGTAGGTCAGTCATATTGCAGGCTGTGGAAGAGCTGGTGTGAGGGGGTTGCTAAGAGAGCAAATGAATTTTAATTAGAGTTATCTAACTCCAGCTTCATTCTGAAAAGCTGAGAGAGGCAAGGACTGCCTCATTCCTCCAGGGTCAAGGGACAAAATGTTTTTGTGTGGTGGATTACATTTTTGAAGTTTAAAGTATTTCCTCCAGTTTGAAAACAAAGATTGCCCTAAATTTGAGGTCACTTTCAGCTGGGGTCAATGTGGTAATGATGTTTCCTCCTGGGAAAGGAAATATGTTCTTCAGTAATCATGGTGAGTTAGAGGCTAGAGTCCTGGGCAAAGATGGTCAGAGCTTAACTCGACAAGAAACAGCAAGCTCTGCTATAAATAGCTCAGCAGATGACATCAGGCAAACCTGGTGTATTAGTCAGGGTTCTCTAGAGGAACAGAACTGATAGAATGAGAATATCTCTCTCTCTCTGAATCTCTCTCTCTCTGAATCTCTCTCTCTCTGAATCTCTCTCTCTCTCTCTCTCTCTCTCTCTCTCTCTCAATCTTTCCCTTCCTCCCTCCCTCTCTCTCTCTCTCTCTCTCTCTGTCACACACACACACACACACACACACACACACACACACACACACACACGGGATTTATTAGAGGGGCTTACAGGCTGTGGGCTAGCTAGTCCAACAATGGCTGTCTTCAAATCCAGTAATTGTTCAGTCCATGAAGCTGGATGTCTCAGTCTTCAGGATATGTCAGAATCCCAAAGAAGTAGAATCTAATGCCAGTGAGTGAGGGCAAGCAGGCAAAAAACGAAGGTTTCCTTCTTTCATGTTCTTTATATAAGCTATAACTAGAAGGTGTGATACAGATTAAAAGTGTATCTTCCTACCTCAAAAGGCATATCTTCCAACTTTAAATGATTTACAAAAAATCCCTCACAGGTACCCAGATGCTTGGGTTTTGGTTAATTCTAGGTGTAGTCAAGTTGACACCATAAATGACCATCAGACCTGATCACCAAGCTAGTCCTCAGCTCAGGCAGCAAACAAGACCCTAAACAACTCTAGGAATGCCTGCAGCCATATGTCATAGGTGAAGACCAATTTTGGAGGTCTGAAGGTATTTTTTTCTTCTAATCAAGAAGGGTATATTTCCTGGTTTACATTCAAAACCAAGTTGGCTCACCACCCTCAAAAGTGTCCTCCTTGTTAGGAAACTTCATCATGAGACTTCAGATACACTGGTTTGGAAAGTTTTCTCAGTTTCTCCTGGGTTTGAAGTCCCCGGCCTCGTCGTGGGGTGAGACCCATTGGAGGCAGATGGATCTGAGTGAGAATAATGACACAAAGAATCATTAATCATTAGTGTAGCTTATATTCACCAAGGACTTACTGTTTCTAAGTGCTAAAACTACCACAGACACATTACTGTCTATATATCTGCATTCATTGATTTATTCTTATGATAACCTCCTAAGCCATTTTAAAATAATTTTTATAGATGAAAAAAATGGAAGCTCAGAGAAACTAAGTACCAGCTTGTTCAAAGTCACAGACTAAGTGGTGGAATGGGACCTGAAGCCAGAATCTGGTCTAGAGCTTGCACCTATCTATTCCACTGTGCCTAGACACAGGAAAACAACTACTAAAGAGCCATTCAGCAAAATGGGCACCTAAAGAAGGAAAAAGAGAAAAGGTGTTTGGGTGCATAATGGGCCAACTCAAATGCCTACTGAGGTAGAAGGAGCTTACAGTATGGCTCTCATGGCTAATTTTATGAGTAAATCTGATTGACTTTCATTAAGAATCATTTCTGCGTGTATGTGTGAGAGTATTTGGAGATAAGAGCAGTGTATGAATTAGTAGATTCAACAGACTGCCCTCTCCAATGTGGAAAGCCATCCTCCAAACTAGTGGGGCTCGAAAGAAAAAAAGGCAAAGGATGAATCCACTTCTTTTGCTTCTTGCTCACCTAATTTGAGCTGAGACATATCATTTTCTCTACCTCTACTCTGGTTTTCTATCATCAGCCCCCTTGATTCTTAGGCCTTCTGGCTCTGACTGAATTATGTCACTAGCTTTTTCCTAGGTCTTCAGTCTCCATAATTGTGAGATCTATCTATCTCTATCCATCCATAGATGGATCCATCTATCCATCCATCCGTCAATCCATCTATCCATCTATCTGTCCATCTATCAATCTATATCTTCTGATCTCCTTCCTACTGGTTCCATTTCTCTGAGGAACCCTGACTTGTACAATGATGGCACATTCTTACAATATCATACAATGCAAACATTTAGGATTGAGGAAGAGCTGTATACAAAGATGCTCAGAAGAGATGAAATAAAATCAGTAGGTAATAAAAACAATATACCTAGAATTCCGTGTGTGTGTGTGTAAAACTAATATTACCAGGTAATTAAATAGAACTGATATCAAAATAACTGCTTCTTTAAGTCAAAGAGTTGAAAACTGATCATTTTAAAATTACATTGGTCTCTTCCAAAAGGTGAGAATTTTTGACAATTTTCACTTTCTACTTTCTGTAATCTTTTAATACCTGAACTTTACTTTTTCAGTATCTAAAAAGCTTTCCTTTTTTACTAAAGAAAATAAACGCATTTCTATAAAAAATGGGTGAAGGCACAAAGAGAAGCTTTCTAAATAGGCGTTGCTTTCCCCTTCCAGCTGTGGGAAGCTGTACAAGAAGAGAGCAGGCACTATATCAGTGCATATAATGATAATAATGATATATCGTGATGGGGTAGTGGCATACAAGGATAACTTGCTTCCAATATGCTTCCTACTGTAGCTCTTGTTCCTCAGTAAGTATAAGCCCTCATGGTACATATCCTTAGAAATACCTGCATTGACAAGGGTTAAGTGCCCATACTTACAGGTCTTGGATAAGGAATCTGGTAATGTAGTCCAATCTCAATCCTGGCTGTGCATTCAACTATACATTGCTTAATCATGTCTGGGTCTGTGAGCTATTTAAGGGGAAATAAATACATTTAGTATCTTTCTAATAGTATATAAAATGTAATATAGACTTTCTTAAACTTTTTAGTTCACTAGTCAGGAAACTCAATATTGATAAAGGTCTTTCCTATCTTCCAGTTAGCTTTCTTATGAATTCCTCCACAGTTAGTCTATGAATATATAAACCTAAATACAGAGAATTAGTCTTTTAAAAACATTTCTTATTTTGTTTATTATCTTGTGTGTATAGTGCAGAGAGTATGCACATGCCATTAAACACTGTGGTGCTTGCATGGTATCGATGACAACTTTGTGGAGTTGTTTTATTCTTTTTGTCTGTCTTTGAGTGCTAGGGGTTGAACCCAGTTCCTCAGGCCTGTGTACTAAATACCTTTACCCAATGCGCCATCCCACTGGCCCAGGCTTTTTCTTATAGAGATATCTTTATAAGTCTTGCTTTGTCATTATCATAATTTCAAACTCTTTTGGTATCAGACATCCTGAAACCTTTCAAAAATTCAACATCAGGCTTGATTATAATTTAACCACTGTACTATTTATGAGCATTTTGGTTATTTCCAGCCTTTTCCAATTATGAACAATTCTGCTACAGACCTTTATGCAATTCTTTTCTCACATGCCAATATATCTAAGAGATGAATTCTTAGAGCAGAGAATGCTAACACAAAGGGGCTATATAGGTTCATGTTTTCCACAGTATTCCCAAGTTACCTTCTAGAGTTTATACCAATTCACATCCCCATCAATAATTTGCAAACTTGCATCTCCTCCAACACCAAATGAGAGAGCTGTTTCACACCCTCTCCACATTCTCTCTCTTAAGCACTGGTTCTCAAACTTTCTAATGCTACGACCCTTTAATACAGTTCCTCATGTTATAGTGACCCCCCCACTATAAAATAATTTCTGTTGCTACTTCATAACTAATTTTGCTACTGTTATGAATTATAACATAATATCTGTGTTTTCCCATGGCCTTATGTGATGCCTGTGAAAAGGTCATTTGATCCCCAAAAGTGGTTATGACCCACAGGCTGAGAACCACTGCTCCAAAGGAATCTGGCTTTTCAGCAACAGGAAGATGTTGGAGAATGGTTTACCTCATATTTTAAACTATAAGTTGACATGCTAATTAGTAAGGGGCAAAAAAGAGTTTTAAAATCCCAAATCACTCAAATTTTGATAATGTATTTTTGAGTAAAAGAATGAAATGTTTATTTTTGGAAAAAAGGAAAAACACATACACACAAAACACACACACACACACAGGCCAAATCAAGGAGGGAAACTTTCATTCAGAGGCTGTAAAAAAACAGCCAAACAAAAACCAACCAACCAACCAACCAACCAACCAACCAATCAAAAAACACACAAAAAACAAAAAAAAACCCAAAACAACAACAACAACAACAACAACAAAAACAGCACATGGATCTTCTATCCATTTGTGAGTGCTTCAAAGTAGTGCAAGAATTGCATCAGCTTCAGATGACAACCAAGCTGAAGTCTTGGCCCATGTGGTTTGAAAATTCCAACGGAGTTCTTGTCCCCTGGTGCTTCTTGGAGTTCCAGGAACAGCAGCACAGAGAACTCAGCTGAGTCCCTTAGGGCAGAGGCTCAACTCCCTGACCTCTGCAGCCTCAGAAGCTACCGTGCTGCTATCAACATTGGGAATGGATTCTTGTATTGCCATTGGCAACACTATAATAATTATATAATTATTAATAATTAGTAAGTTGGGTTATAATAAACTGTTTATGTCTACATCAGGAACTTCGGGGAAAGAAAAAGCCTCTTGACAATGATATTGCTAAGGGGGCTGGGGCTTCTAGAACTCCAGCACTCTGACTATCATCTATATACCTTGGGCTAGAGTTCTCCAAATTCAGCTATTCACAGGATGCTACATGATTTTGTGACATGCACATATCACCTTCTGTCTCATCCTTGGCCAATCTAGGTCAAGGCTCAAAAATGATTCTGAAATAAATGAAAACCTAGTCTTGAATAGTTCTCAGACAATTTCATCTGCTCAGGTTTACTGAGTATATGCCATAGCTAGGGCCATACCCATGGCCCTGACCCATCGGGTCATATCTCTGTCTTCAGCTACCAAAGATACCATCTGAACAGATCACCTCTTGAATACCAAAAAGGCACAGAAAAGCCAGATGGGTGACACATGCCTATAATCTTGTTCAAACTCAGAAAGACTGTGTTTAAAACAGTGTCTTCTGGATATGACAGGCCTGTTGTATTTGTGAATTCACTGCAGCTGTGTTTGCCTGCATAAGACCCATACCAGATCAAGCCAGGCCACATTCCAGCACAGGCAGGAGAGTCCTGTGGCCCCACCCCTAGCTGAGGAGCTACTGACAGCTGATGGCTACTGGAGGAATGTGAGTCAGTTCTCTTTAAGGGTATGGCCTCTGGTAGGTCAAACATGCTCAGGTGGACAGCTCCATACCCACAGTACATGGGCAGCACAAACTGGACTTGGTGCTTTATTTAAAAAAAAAAAAAAGTTAAAAAGAGGGCATGAAGTTGAGGTAGGTAGGGTGAATCTGGGAAAAGGGGTAAATATTGTAAAAATATATTGTGTACATGTATGAAAAATTTTAAAGGTTGATGTGATGACATGTATACATCTTTAATCCCATCACTTAAAACAGGCTGGTGGCTCTCTTGAGTCACAGGACAGCCATGGCTATACACTGCCACTGTATTGAAAACAAATATTTAATAAAAATACATTTTAAAAAAACCCCAAATCAAACACAATGAAGTGTGGAGGCTTTGGGGTTTCGAAATGATGAGAGTTTGTCTTGATTTTAATTCCTCTATGTTTTAACCTAACTAAAATATCTGTGGGAGACTGTATTTTTATTTATTTTTATATCCAAATTGTTTGGTGGAGTGTTCAGCACACAGGACGCTTTAATAAGGACTAAGAACAGAGCTTCACCTTGGCAGCAGGTGACAGGAGCTACAAGTAGAAAAAAGGGGGGAGCAGCTAGGGGGTCAGGGATTAAAAACAGATGACTAGGCTGAGGTGAGTTCCTGCAGGTGGTCAGAAACAAAGGCTGGGCCAAGAGTGGTGACATATGCCTTTAATAAAGTCACTCAGAAGGCAGAGGCAGGGGAATCTATGTGAGTTGGAGGCCAGCCTAGTCTACATAACAAGTTCTAGGATAGCCATGGCTAAATAGAACCTGTTCAAAAAAAAAAAAAAAAAAAGAGAGAGACAGAAAAACCCCAAAACGAAACAAAAAACAAAAACAAAAGAAAAACAAAAAGAAAATAACCAGATCCAGATATTCAAACGTGGCCACAACAGAAGCTGACCTTTAGCTGGCATGCAAGTAGTGTTAAGTGCTGTAGAGAAACATCCAGAAACACACAGGCTACCGGAGAGAGAAGCAGTGAAGCTAAATTGGAAGACACCAAGCAAATGTGGGCAGAGATGAGCCAGGTACTGACAGTCACCTTTCATCCTAGTGCCAGGCAGTTTTCCCAAGGGAAAGCTAGCCAGCATGCTTTGTCAGGATGAATCGAAACTGCCTGGAGTCCAGGTGTGCGGTTCGGCTAGACTAGCTAGTAGAAGTCTTGGTTTTTTCAGTACCGCTCTGTTGGCCAAAGAGCTCGTAGCTAAGTTACGGGAGGAGCTCTGTGCCTTTTCCTACATTATAAAATGGGTTTATCACCAAAGGCTTTGATTGCTTTATGAATTGAGAAAAAGCATTTTACTTTATACCACCCCTGGGAGTGGCTGGTCATCAGGATGTGAGGAACAGCTCTTACTGGCATGATTTCTGTCACTTGGCTCACAGGGTCTTCTGAGAATGCTGAGCCATTTACTGGCTGGACAGTCCTGGTTGATCCAAAAGAGGAAAACTTGAGTTGGGCTTGACTTTCTAGTACTGGCTAAACTGGCAAGCCTAGCCAAAGTTGCATTCTGGGCCCTTCCTGGCTGTGGGAGTTGGATGGGTCTTCTTCAGTTAAGGTAAGAAAGAAATGAATAAACACCACACGAAGATTCTCTGTTCCTTGCCATGTCCAGATGGGGCCTACTTACATTTTTGTTTTTCTGGAACAGTGTTCTGGCTTCATTTAGTATGTACTGTTTTTCTTCGATGGTGTCTTCCATCTGCCCTGATGCTGCCTGCCATTTCCGTGCAAGCCTGAAAATGCTTCGGTAGAGGCAGAGGACTTCTTTTCGGGTTGCTGCTGTCATCTTCAGACCCACCAGAGTAAGAGGAGGAAATCAACGTAAAGATGCAGTTTGACAGTAGGCAGCCAGGCAGATATAAAGTGTTTGAATCAAGATTGTAATTAGTCTAGAACTAACTGCTCCTGTTGATCAGATCTGCAGGCAGAGACAAACATCAGTGAAATAACTCTTTTGCTCTCTCTCCTCCCATCATCTTACTTTGTTTTGTTTCTTCATTTTTATTCTTTTAAAGTCATGGTTTCTCTGTGTAGCCTTGGCTATCCTGAAACTAGTTCTATAGACCAGGCAGGCCTTGAACTCACAGAGATCTGCCTGCCTCTGCCTCCTGAGTGCTGGGATTGAAGGCACTTGCCACTTCCACCCAGCCCATCCTCTTGATTTTGTTTGTTTGTTTGTTTGTTTGTTTGAGACAGGGTTTCTCTGTGTGGCTTTGGCTGTCCTGGAACTTACTCTGTAGACCAGGCTGGCACATGTGGATCTCTCAGAGATATCCACATGTCTCTGTCTCCCAAGTGCTGGGATTAAAGGCAATACCTCTGTCCGCTTTCTTCTTGATTTTTGAGACAAGAGTCTTGCAAGTTAGTCCTGTTTGGGAAGCCATACTTAGCCCAGATTGGCTCATGATCCATCCTGCTTCAGCCTTCTGAGTCTGAGAACTATAGACCTTAACTGGCAGTAATTTGCTGTTTGCTATGAGTTCCTTTTTGCAAATACGGCAAGACCAAATTCACATTATTTTTTAAAAATCATACCAACTAGAATACCTCAGAAATGATTACTTTAGTTCATGTTCTGGTAAATGTACATGGCTGACCTGAATGCCTAGAAGGCATCCTTGAGTTTGTTTTGTGAGACAGGGTCTCACTGTGTGGCCCTGGGTGATCCACAACTTGTTTTGTGTGTTTTTAGAGGATGGAATCTCATATAAACCAGACCGGCTTATAAGTTTATCCATCTCTACCAACCAAGTAGAGAGTATTTATTACATGGTGCTGACCAGCAGTAGACACTCTAAAATGAGAGCCTGGAGATGCCAGTTTTTTTGCTAGTTTAAGACTAGGTAGAAGACTGGGTTTGGTAGCACAGGCCTGTAATCCCAGCACTCAGAAGGCTGAGGCAGAAAGAGCATGAGTTCCAGTAAACTTGAGATACATCTTTAAAAACAGTGGCATTTCATGCTTTTGAAATCTTAAAGTGACAGTTACTGTTTTTGAAACCATGGTCATCATACAAAGCAAATTGAAGCAGTCTCAAGGCCCAGTTTTACCCCGAGGCTGTAAGGTTGCAGCTTCTCTTAGTTTAGAAAACATTTCTCAAAATTACCTTCTTGACCAATAAGAATGGTACAACTGAATATCTTTCTCAGAAGAGCTTCTAACTCTTCTCACTTTTTCTAGGAAATACCACCAGTGGGTATGGCCAAATGAGAACTGACCTAAGTCTATAATGTCAAGCAGGATCTTTTGGTAAATTCTTGTTACTTTTATTTTAATGAAATATTTCAGACACACACAAAAAGAGAATAACATAATACCTACATATAATAAGGTTTGAAGAACAAGTTATGGAAACACTTGATGCCCCTGTTAGATCCCTTCCAAAGCAATCGTCTTGCAGGGGTGGGGGGTGGGTGGGGGGTGGGCAGTAGCTCACTATTTACTCTTGGCAGGCCTAGAATCTATAGACCAGGCTGGCCTTAAAATCATAAAGAACTGCCTCCCTCTGCTTCCAGGGTGCTAAGATTGAGGGCATGTACTACCGTGCACACTGTCTTTTCCTCTCTGGTTGAAGGTGCCACCATCCTGACTGTTGTGTATCATTGTCATAAATCCTTTATATTTGTTACACAGGACAGTTTTACAAGCTTAGAACTTCACATAGGTTCTACAAGGTATATTTTTGTGCCTTTGAATTTGCAATTCACATTGTCACACTGAGCTCTGGCTCTGACATCGCTGCTGCAGGTCAATCCACTCTACAGCGCCCAGTTGCACTTGTCACACTTGTCTATTCTATTCTGTTGATGGATATTTTATAACTTGTGCAAAACTTCGGTTTAATTGTGTGTGTGTATATATATTTTTTTTCCCTATGTGTAAAACTTGAGAGAAAATACAAAAAAAGGGGGGTGCAGGGTAGTGGGGGAGACGAGTCCTTAGAATTCTTAGTCAGATTTAGAATAATGGCTGTATGCTGCCTTAGACAAGAAGACAGGCTGGGAAGACAGATCTGGTGAGTAAGCAGCAGAGTCAGGTACTGGGGCAATCCATGAACACAGGAGTCCTGAGGTTTAGTTTTGTTTTCCAAACAGGTTTACCAAGATTGAGAAGGAGGCTGAAGGCCGCCATTTAGGAACACAATCCATTTCTAACTCCCTTCCTGGGAATGCAATGCTTTAGGATGGTCCTTAGTCTATGAGAATCCCAGCTGCTAAAGAATGATGGGAGTATAGGAGGGGTTTGTATGTCTACATACATATATAGAAATTCCTTCAAAGAAGCCACCTTATATAGCATTTGTTCTGTGAAGCTGACTGTCCCTCTTATTTACCCCTGACCATGGTAACTTTTCTTGAGAAATAAGGAGTGAACCAATTTTAACCATTTGATGAAAAGCTTGAAATCACTACTTCCCCCATCCGAAAGCTTAAAGGATTAAAGTTATACACAACAACATCCACAATGCTTCCTAGAAACAGTGCTTTAAAAGGCATTTACAAAAACCAAGTGAGAACACGCTGGGCAAGAAAGACCCAGATGAGACAGTGATATTTTTCCTGGTAAGGAAACAGGTTTCTGAGTTTCAGGTTCTCCCTAAAACTCCATGGTTTCATCTGAAAACATGTGAGTCAGTTCCTGTGAGGAGCAGTGGCATCAACTAAGGACTGCTTCACTTCCCTGTCATCAACAGATGAAACCTCCTCAACTTTCAGATACCAGCAGAGGAAAGCAAAGGTCAAACATATTCAAAACCTAGCAAATTTCTCAAAGCCTGACTTGAATTGGTTCTCTCTTACTACTTTAAGAACTTTGATCATAAGCTATAACATGACACACAGACCTACAATTAGGTTACTCAAGGTAATGAGTACTAACAATTGACACTTAATAAGACTATTTTGAAAATACTTTAATTAGTATGTGTCTTGAAAAACTAATCCAGAAAGGAAAATACGTGATTTTCAACATCAGGTGATCCAGAAAATCCAAGTCCTAAAGACTGCCAGGAGAAAAGTCAAAAACTATCTTCACTTTTGTACACGAACAGGTATAGCCTGTTACATCTAGGTCTTGGAAGAAAAGTCGAGAGAAAAATATGTTTTTTGATGTTTTCTTACTGAGTTTCTTTCAGTTCTTTGGGGGGAAACTATGATCTTCTTGACTTTGGGATGCACACCCATAGTTTTCCCTCTTCACTAATTTTCATTTTATTTTATTTTCTAAGACAAGGTCTCACTCTAGGTAGACCAGGCTGGCATCAGATTCACAGAGATCCACCTACCTCTGAAGCTCTAAGATTAAAGACATTTCAGATAGCCGGGCGGTGGTGGCACACGCCTTTAATCCCAGCACTTGGGAGGCAGAGGCAGGCAGATTTCTGAGTTCGAGGCCAGCCTGGTCTACAGAGTGAGTTCCAGGACAGCCAGAACTACACAGAGAAACCCTGTCTCGAAAAGCTAAAAAAAAAAAAAAAAAGTTTTTTTTAAAAATGCTTTTTTGAAATTTCTTTTTGATCTTAGAAAGCAACTCATTTACTAAAGCTGACATTTCTTGAAAGTCTTCTTATCCAAGGACTTAAGTGGCTTCAAACCAACATTCTTCTCGGGATTAATACAACACAGACAGCCTTTATCCTTACTTACAGTTGGTCAGGAGCTGACCTTATATAGTATATATAGTATATATAGTATATATAGTGTATATAGTGTATATAGTATATATAGTGTACAGCTGCTACTGGAGTTCCCCTTAGGCAACATATAGAATAGTCACTGTTCAGGAAGCAGAACTTTAATCTAAAATGGTCTCGAAGTCCATTCTTAAGGAATCTTCAAAGTTCTATGGCATTTATTTTGGATCAACACTATTTGAAATATTTGTTCCTTTTTTATCTCTTTAACCAAATCCCAGGATGAATAAAGAAAACATAAGTGTGATGGAAGGAATTGTAGCTAGAAGGTGTCTTCTCTTTTAAAAGTTGTACTGGCTGCATAAGCAGAGTACTAAGATGAAACTTATTATTAACAGCATATTTTATAATAGTCTGGCACATTTTGCTGTTAGTATGTTTTGCCCTCTGGTCCTCAGTTGGGAGAGGTCCCCAATGCAGCTATCTCAAAATTTGATTGTGGAGGTGATGCTGGATACACAATACTCATATTTATTAGTAGTCATTACTTTAATGTATACTGGAGTGACCCATCAAACCATGATACTGATTTTGGTGTGATGTAGGGTTGGCTATGAATAAATGTATTCAGAAAATTTCTAACCAGTGTATGATGCCCATACCTGTAATCCTAACACTCAGAAGGCTAAAGTAGAAGGGATTGCCACAAGTCTGGGGCCAGCCTGGTCTACAAAGTGAATACCAGGTCAGCCAAAGGTACAGAATTCTATTCTCTTTCCATACAAAGACCCACAGAAGTGAGTATTTTGCACCTTGGTATGCTTTATAAAATCCCCACCTGCCTTTCTTCAAAAAGCATTTTATATACAAGGACCCTTAAAGGAGGTTGTGCACCTGGTTGGAATGCTGTTCGTTCAGTTCTCTGTGGTAACCCCTCTGACTTCTAGAGGAGCTAACATCAGAGTGAGATGAGGTAGAGACTCAACACAGCTACACCCTGCAGGCTCTAAGTCCCCTCTGCCAAGCATCCCATAGACTGATCCCCTCATCATTCACTGGACATGCCTACCACATCCAAGACCATGAAGGTCTGGGGATATTTTACCTTTTAGTACCAGAGGCAGACAACATACAAGAAAATCAAAGAATGTCAC